GCAAGAACAGGGAAGAACTCTACAGATTGTTGTCTTGTATCTAGTGTGTTTTTCATGTCTGCCCTACTCTATTATTTATAGCCTTAAAGAGACAAACTTCTAATCTAATTAGGAGTTTCCTGATCCAAATATATATTTGGATCTAGACTCTTTAAGTGATAAGGATAATCCCTTATCTGCAGTTTAAAATCAGCTTAATCCTAATCAAATTAGGAGTTTCCGATCTGGACTCTTTAAGTGGATAAGATTTATCCTCTTATCCTATCTATTGATTCAAACCCAGATTCGCCCTTATTTAATTAATCTAATTAACCCAGTTCGAAATTGGGCTTTAGGCCCATTAAATTTATGTGCTCACTTAACCTCTTAACCTATTGCCCAGTTGGCTCTCTTTGTATGGCGTGAGACTCAAACATTGATCTACACATCAACCACATGGGTTCAGCCCAGCCTTTATTACAAGGCCTGGCTGAATTCACTATAGGAGACAATGAACCCCTGAGTCTTAATGGGCCCAACATTTACACTAAATGGTCATTGGGTCCAGCCACCTTATGAAAACCCAAGGACTGTGGGCAGACAAGAGAGGACCTCTCCCTCGGCTGCAAGGAACAATGCCCGACAATGATCTTACACTTAACCTCTTAGCCCATAATGATCAAACACTGTCCAACAAAAGAGGACCTTTCCCTCGGCTGCAAGGAACAGTGTTGCACTCTCTACTCACATGGATCCCGGGAATTAAAACCTTTTGCAAACATTTTGAAACCATAATATATATATATATGTATATCTCTATATAAATATATTTTGCAAAAAACAAATTTCAACAGTTAAAATCAACTGCTGGCAATTTAGGTTTCCATCAGAGAGAGTGCATCCCCGATCATTCACTTTGTCTGACAAAGGGGCTGATCCTATCACTATGATCACCCACTCGGATGAATTCTCGGACTGTCCCAACATACCCARGTTTTRACCCCCTCTAAGGATCTCACTGATTGGCATATCAAAGATAGTCCGATCCGACACGTAGTGCAGTACCATAATCAAGTCTAGGGGTTAGGTGTAACATTCCAGTTTTGTCCATCTATCTCCAAGGTCTAAGGCAATACTGGAATTTTGGTCTAGTTCAAGGTTTCAAGAAAACCCACACTGCATGTATCTCAGGTCTCAACCTGGCAGTTGAGACGAGCCACCCCAACCAACTTGGTGGTACATCAGTGTCGGTCTTGGCAGGATAAGTCTCCCTAGATCTATCCAACTTCTGTGAAGATTTTAAACTAACACGAGTCTCATAAGTGTCCAGTTTAATGGTATTACACAGAAACACACCACAATGACATCAATCAATTATGTACTTTATTCATTTAYAATAAATGTCAAAAGATACATCAATCCGATTGGAGCTAATGGCATAACTGTCTAACAGCTACTCCTATGGCTATTATATAATCAATTTGGGCTTAGAGAAATAGAAGAGTGTACAATAACAAGTGTAGGCCTTTCAGTAGGCAAGCTGGTGTCCTGGATCTCACATCTCAGTATTAAAGGGGTTCTTCACCACAATGTATTTGTGCTAGAGCTCTAAAAGTGTGTGAATTTATGTAGTGTTTGTTGGTATGCTAATAAAATTTACTTTGCATTTTTTCAAGAAGAGGGGTCCTCTGATCAGTGCTTCCTACTATGATCTCATGGATGGTTTGGTGTGAAAGAATTCTTTAATTTTTTGGAACAAATCAGTAATACTTATATAAGTTATGGGATCCCTTAGATATTGGTTGTCGGTGCATTTCAATTTTGATGTTCCTTTTAGTTCTCTTGTGTAATCAAACTTTTTATTCAGAACCTCATTGTACATGGATTCTCGTGCAAATGCTTTTTATACTCTTGGCCTTTAAAATGCAGACCATTACTTCTTCAGAAAGAAAAGAGAAAAACGTAGTCCAGTGAACCAAGGACCATTCTCTGCATCCAGTTTTAAGTGCACCAGCTTTATTTCAGTTAATCCTCTTCTTCAAAAGGTTTCACATTGGAGGTTCAACACATTTCATGTGATGGAAGCTGCCAGCATGTTGGATGCTTTTATGTTATCTGCCATGGGGTCTACAGTGGAAGAGTTCTTTCCATTTTTGTGTGTAAATAATATCTTGCGACACCAACAACTGTTCAAATGTGTCATAAAAAAGTCGTACTTGTATGCATTGATTTCACACGACTTAGGATTGTTCTCTCTAAGAAATATGCCACTGAGTTGCACAGATAAGGGGAATAAAGAATGCGACTAATCAAAAATAAATGAAAGAATGCTACTTAGCTGGGATTGACCTCATGGTCAATTTAAATGTGCCCGGTTTAGCATATTCCGGAATTTCGTCGATATAACAGCTCACGCAAAAAAAAAAAAAAAATCTACTATTTAACAAGAATAAATCAATACGACTAAAATGGACGAAGTAAACTAACTTGAGAGCAAGCTTTCTATATGCAGTCTTTATCTCCTGATCCGATGCATCTCTTGATACGTTCAACACCTCGTACGGATCTCGACGTACAGACGGCGCCGAAGGACCTTGAACATTCGAGGTCATCTTCTCTTCTACACACCTCTCACCCTCCTTTCTCTCTCTACCTCTTAATTTCCTCGATCAAACTCAATTCCAATCTTTCAAAACCTCGCATCCTCAAAACTACAGCCAAGCATGAAGAATCAAAACAAGACCAAAATAACGCTCCTCGCCTTGAAAAATCGAAAAATAGAACAAGAAACAGATGGGAAGTTCAAGCCTAGGATCACATTAAAGCGAGTTTAATACAATAAAAACTAGGTTTTATTACGATTTACCTGAGAGACAGACGGTGATGGTGGAGAAGAAATACCTCCTCCGTGACGAAGCGTTGTGTCAGTGACTCGGTGTTTCCCGGTTTTTCACTCGCAAGACAAAATAATCTCTCTTTTCATACCAAAGTATAAGTGAAAAGGCTAATGCTAGCACCACGGAAGTGATTCAAGTGAAGATTTTTCCGTTTGAATTATTTTTGTACTCTTGCGATTCAGATATCTCCGTACCCACGTAGCCGTGACGCTAGGATTTTTCCTCTAGGAGACTGGGAATTATAAAACCTCGGAGACGACAAAAGTTGGCATTTTTCTCGAGTATATTTGTATTTTCCAGTGGCACGAGTAAGAATACCTTTTTTATTGATGAAGCAAAAAAAATGTACTCTTCTTATTAATTTCAAAAGACAAAAAAATTGAAATACCCTCCATGTGGATTAATATGTGATCCAAGATTCAAAGTGTATACAAGGCCGAAGGAGTAATCATTTTAGTCCGGCCCGAAAATTTCAAGATTGACTAGAGATCGGATTCAGCAAATTCCATCCGACTACCGAAAACAAAACATGCGTTCGAATACAATTGGAGACCTCGAATTCGAATTAAAATCCTAATAAACTCTGATCGTATTCGGATTTAATTTAATTTTCTTTTATTTTTTTTAATATTAAAAATTTATAATTTTAATTATTTTTCAAATTTTTATGTAATAAATTCATATTAAATTATATACATTTTATATAATAAAATCAATAAATATTAGAATATAATTGGATTTGGGTTTTAATCAAATCTGAATCTAATTATTAATCGGATGTAGATTACAACATTCAGATTGATCAGGCTTTAGATTTTCAAGTAGGGAAAAGTACGGAAACACACGATGCAGAATTCTGAATTCCAGCCCCCCCCCCCTACAACTAGCCCTATCCCCCCCTATAAACCACATCCTGCCCGTGAATTTGGCATCAATTCACGGTCATGATGCATTCCTCCTATACTTTGGGTCTAGTAAATTCTGAGCTGGGCTGATTTGTACTTCTCCCTTTCAAGTATTGTCAAAACTTGGCTAGTTTTAGGGCCAGGCCAGGTCCAATAATTCAAGCCCAATTTGGGTCTTGCTTGACCCACAAATATTTATATTTATGTTATTTTTATATATTTATGTGTTGTTATCAATGTTCAAAAAAGCATTACGTATGGCCCATATTGGCCGATACATATCATATCATGGTACCCTTACAGAGGGTGTATCAGGGTTTTGACCAGGTGGAGGAACCTTAAACCGGCCCCTTGAACCGGATTTAAAAAAAATATATAAAAAATAATAATAATATCGATACTACCCAATACACCCCTACTGGTGTATCTAGCGTATCAATATTTAAAACCTTGGATGTTATTTTTATATTATATATATATTATAAAATGGCACCCATAATGCATATTATATATAATATTTTATATTACAAAATGTATAAAATAATTTGTATACATATTATATAACATATAAAATTCATAAGCCCGAAATCAAACCTGGTTCTGGGCCTACGCTCTAGCCTTTACCCAGGGGCAGAGCCAGGGGAGACCCAAGGGAGCCATAGCCCCCCTTATGGCCCAAAAATCCCCACTATGTCATGTAAATTTCCCCCTTCCCCCATTCCTCACTCCAATGAATTGACCCCCCCTATGACCATCCATATTTGTCCCCCCTCTCCCCCTAATCCACTTTAGGTTTGGTCTCCCTCATGAAAAATTCCTAGCTCCACCCTTGCCTTTACCATAAGTACTATGTCAGGCCCGTGACCCCATAGTATAGAGCCGCTGAAAATAAGGTTGATCATGGAATGAAGAAGTATATTTGTAGAAAGAAGCATCCAAAGCCACACTTCCTCCATGATCCAAGTAATGACTTTTACTAATTTAGTGGGTGTTTGACAATATGGCATTATTTGTTTTTTATTTTCAAAAATAAAATCAACCATATTGTCGAAGACCCCGAGGTGAATGTTTTGCTTGCTCAAAAAGAGGTGAACAGGCAATTAAAAAGTTGATCCATAATGCCATGGACATGTGAAAAAAATGGTTGTTTAAAGCAAGGAAAGAAAAAACAGCCATCTCTGTTTTAAAGCTTCCTGCACATGACACTAGTATATAAGATAAAAAATAACTGCAATTAATATTTTTTAATTTAAAAGGTAAATAAAAATTAAGGCCACATTCGTTTCGCGGTATTCATTAAAGGGAGTAAGTTGATAAAATGTTACATGCGTTCATTTTCTCGGGGTGTAATTAGATAGAACATATAATTAGACATTAAGCCAGTATTAATTGCAATTATGATTTATTAGGGAAACAGGTCAAATTTGATATGCTTTATAGGTAACTAGCGTCTGCGGACATGTGCGATGCATGAGAAAATCTAAAAAATTGAATAATTTTATTTTATATTAATTAATTGATAGATTAATAATCAAGATTTGTTGTTAATTAATTAAAAATATTTAAATTTATTGTTAATATTTAAAATTATAATAATTGTATTTTTTGTTTAAGATTGATTTACAAAAAGTAATTATTTTTAATTAAATATAAATAAATAGTTTTAATAAATTTAATTTTATTAATCATTTGTAGTAATTTTGATAATTATTATTATTTTCATTATTTTTAAATAAAATTTTAATTGACATTAAATAAATAAAAATAATTACAAAAACTAACATTTTTATTAATTTCACTTATAATTAACAATTACATAAGAATGGCAGCGAGGCGGGTTCAGTGTGGGGCACCCCATCCCTATACCTACCCTATAGTCAAGACACTCTACCCCATCCCCAGTGTTAGACAGGTACAAGGCAAGGCACCCACTCCCCATTAGGGACGGGGAATCCTCAAATTTCCATGCCTCATCCTCAGTGTTGGGCAATTTCAAGGCAAGGCACCCACTCCTCATCAAGACGAGGAATCCTTGAATTTTTTCTTCTCTGTCCCTAGTGTCGGGTGGACTTGTTCATGAGCCAAGTAGCCCGATGGGTCAGTCTGGCCCGACCCAATCTAAATCGGGCTTGGATAGGATTTCAAGCCCATAGGCTCAGGCTCAGGCCTAAAATATCGGGCCAAACCTTTTTTGGGCCAAGATCGGGCTTTCTCAAAAAAGCCTAACTCGAGCCTGACTTGATAATATATTATATAATAAAAAACATAATATATATATATATATATATATATATATATATATATATATATATATATTTTCGCTTCTTCTCTTTTTTCAAGTAATAATGAGATCTTTCAATATTTTTTGGGTTTTGAGGTCTTTTAATATAAACAAAATAGTTTTTAATTGAATTAAAAGGAAAAAAAAAGAATCTTTTTTTTTCCAATTTCTGGCCGAACTTTGGGCTTTATATGAGGGCCAAGGTAGGGCTCGGGCTTGAGCATATTATGTTAATGTAGAGGCAAAGCCTGGCCCGACTAGGCCCGTGAACAGGTCTTAGTGTCGGGCAAGTTCAAAGCAAGGCATCCACTCCCCATCAAACCCAATATTCGATTTGATGGCAAAAATGATCAAAAGGATATATTGATTATCAACCACATTGTAAATTTCTAAAAGTACACTAAATTGTCTTTAATTTTCAAAAATGTAATTTATTATTCTTTAAATGGTTTATTTACAAAACACACTAACTTATCTTATATTTTCTAAAATAAATTAATCAATAATTTCCTTTTTCCAATATTATACTAATTTATCTTAATAAATTGTGTAATTATTGGTTCAAATTACAATTTAATAATTATCAATAATTTACAATGAAAATTGCATAATTTTTTAGTAGTTTTCCAAAATCTATCAAATGTAACAAATATTTTTAAATTTTCCAAATATACCAATAATTTCAATAAACATTTAATAAATTTTAAATAAACTTTCAAAATTTTTCCAAAACTACAATATTATATCTTTTAATATCCAAAATGTTATTTTACAAAAGTGTAGGTTTATGAGAATTTTTGAAAAAATTATTACATTTGTATAATTATGGAGATTTATTGAAAATTATTTTAAATTTTTATTACATATTTATTTTTACTGAGTAATTTACTAACAAAATTACACTAATTTATCTTATATTTTCCAATATAAATTAATTAATAATTTCATTTTCCAACATTATAATATTTTATTCCCCAATACACATTCAGTTATTAACTATAATAATAGCAATAACTAAAATTGTATAATTTTTTATAATTGTTAAATATAATTCTCAATTGTACATAAATTATTTACAAAATTTTCATTTTCTATAAAATGTTGTTAATTAACATGAATAAAATAGTATTTAACCAAAATACTTTAAAAAGTCATGATGAGATAATTAATAACAATATTTATTAATTTTTGGTAATTTACTGACTGTACTAATAAGAATATTTAATTTTTGGTAATTTACTAACCGTATTTATTAACTTTGGGTAATAACAATATTTAATCTCTAATAAATACTAATAAATAAATTATAACAAAAATACAATAAGTACAACAAATTAAATTTAAAAAGTTAAACAATAGTAGTTTAATCTCCAATAATTATAGAAAATTTTCTACTGAATAACAAAATAAAAATAAATTTATCCATAATTATTGAAAATATATTTATCACAAAATAATGAATAATTACTAAAATACAATCATAATTATATAATACATATAGATTAAGGTTTTAAAATGATTATTAATAAATATTTTTTTGAAAGTTATTTTCTATAATTATTAATTGATATAAGTGAAATTAGTTGTTAACAATATTATTTAGATATTTAAATTTAAAAATAATAATTATTTATTTTATTTAATAATTCATAAAATTATAATTTAAACTATTATTACATAATTTCATTATTAGTTTTGTAAAATATGAAGTTATTATTATTTTCAATATTATGTTATAATTATTTTCTACTTTTTAATAAAATTTTTAATTTTACTACATAATTTCGTTAATTTAACAATTTAAAATCTATTTATGTTAAATATTTCGTTATTTAAATTATTTAGTTATTTAAATATTTAAATAATATGTAACGCATTTAAAATTTTTTGTTATTTAAATTTTATTTACTTTAAAACTAT